GAGATCCCATGACCCCCCCACCCCCCACCCGCCCCACAGCGGCTCGAGAAGTTTGGATTGAGAGCTGACAACCAGCAGGGCCCAGAGCCGACCCCTCCTCGGGGGCAGGAGAGTTCTGCTGCAATGGAGGCGATTCCTCTTCTCCACACAACAGCTACACTTGGCCAAACACACAAAGTACAAACGTGTTCCTGGACAGTTTTGTTTCAGACACTGCTCGATCCGTTACTGGTTTCACTAGTAAAGCAAGGGGACCCAAACCCAACAGCTTTCATAGTGAAACCAGACAAATCATTTATTTTGGTGTGTTTGCATCCACACACCAAGCCAGCCTTCCCCTTACTGCTCTCCCATAGTTAAAACCTTCCTCAGGAGTCCCATTCCAAGGTGCCAGTGCTGCTCCCTCGCCCGACGGGGTATCGGCACCACTTAAACAGCCTGGAGGGCCCTACACAGCCTGGCACTATCTCTCTGAAAACAAACGCCACCCAAATTAGCTACAGGAGTATCTTGGAGCGGTGGATTGCCTCTAGAGGTAGGTTTTTGTCTGAACAGTCAGCTGCTTTCATGGCAAAGTGCTGAGACTCAAGCCTGAGATGATTTCAGCACGGAGAACCAGTTACTGAATCTAAGCATTGGTTTTCTTAACCCTACAGGTCCACACAGACCTGGGCTTCACCTGCTCTCCTCACTCCGAGAACGCACCAAGACCCACATTGGCCTCCAGCTTCTGACACACACTGTCCTGAACTCTCCACCCTTGCCAGCCACAGTCCGTTCACTTTATGATCCAGTTAAGCTGAAAAAAATGAAAGACTGAGTCAAGGCAACAGTGAATACTGAGGGGATATTCCAAGAAAGTTCAGTCACATAGCATGGCGTGCCAGGCCAGCGTGAATCAGAAGCATCTTTCTTTTTTTGGTCTCGACAAGGCTTCAAAGTCCTCCTCCAGAGCAGGCTCAGGAGCCCCAGCGCAGCGCCAAGCAGGATCGCTGTCATGCTAGGAGCAGGGCAGCTCAAGTATGCGTTGACCCACCACACAAAAAGCTAAGAATAGTAGATGCAAGTTGTTCCACAAGACTTAAAATAGTACCTCGGCATATGCTCTTCCCTCCGATTTCCTAACGCTCCTGAGAGCGGCCAAGGTCAGGACTCCGACAACCGCGCACAAACGCGACCAGCTGAAGGCCAGCAGCGAGCGGGTCAGCGCCGCGCTTGGCCTCGCTGGCAGAGCAGGTTAACGCAAGAGCCACCTCCGGTTGGCAGAGCCCAACCACGACCATCACAGCTCCCAGGAGCCCCTGCCCAGCCCCAGGAGCCCCAGCAGCACCAGGACCGAGCTCCAAGCAGCTTTTACAGGATTTAGCACAACAAACCTGCTGCTCCTGCGTACACCTGCACCATCAGGCCTTGCAGAGCCACGTACCGAGTCTGCTCCCAGCTCACCCGCCGCTCTCTCACACTCCCCCGCCGCTCTCTCCCACTGCGCCGCAGATCCAAGGGCAGCCTCGCGCCTCAGCACGTCTGGGTCTCCTCCCAAACAAGCTAGAAAACTTCTCACAGACTTCGTAGCTCTTTCAAGAGCCAACAGCACTGCATGTTTCACTTCACGAAGGCCCCTTGGGGACACAGGGGCTGTTTGTCACCAGCAGCAATCCAGAATAGTCTCCCCATTCCACTAGAACCTATTTTCGGCAGATAAAGTCACACCCTTCATAGGCAGCTCTCTACTTGGGAACCTGGTTGGGCTTTCAGACTTCTAGCGCCTCTATTCCCACCTCAGCAGCTACACCAGGTTATATCCCTTCCATCCTTGCCCGTGCCACGCCTTCCCCAACCCCACTGAACTTTCAGTCGTGGCTACA